CTTGTTTAAGTTTTAATGCATTACCCCTTGTCTTATCGCTACAGTCCCTGATAAGCTTTATCCTTGTTGTTTTCAGTGGAAAGTATTGGTGCTTACAGCACCTGTGCAAGGCATATCTCTCACCTTAGGCATGTTTTACTTACAATAATATACAGATGAGGAAAGCATGTGATAATATTTCACAGGAAGTAATGCTATTTGGAATGGAGATGGACTCTGATACAAAAGACTGTAAAACAGCTATTTCTACATATACACACACACAAAAAAAAGCAGAAATGATTAAAATATTTATGTGCAGAATTAATGCATAGCCCATAAAACTCTGACCGCAATCTTACATCAGAATGAGCCATCCGCTTATTTATCCATCTTAGTAAACTGAAAATACATAGAATAGCAAAACTGTACAAACCATCTCTCCCCTGAAAGAAAATACATGTTCCTATCTCAACTGTGGGACAAAAAGAAAAGCAAGTGTCTCTGCAAATTAATTAATTTATTGAAATTCTTAAAGAATCAACTGGAAATGATAAAAAATAAGGCTTCTTAGGCTGTGAAACAGTAATACAAAATCCTGTTATTCTCTTTGAAAGGTCTTAAAGCACTTTGTAAGGGACTGCTATTAATTTACAGATGGGAAAGCCAAGGCCTTGCAAGGTGATACGACTTATCCAAGGTCATACCACTCAGTAGTGGAAAGAGGAATACAAACTAAGTTTCTTAATCCCCAGTCCACCACCAGCTTCCTTTAAGCTTACCTCTATCACTAGCAGGACTCGAACAGCAGTTGATGAGGAATCTTGACTCTCGGGCCTGCAACTGTGGCTTTGCCAGAATCCATGTGGAAACTTGGTGGGATACAATGTTACTGGTGGACACTCTGCCACAAATCATTCTTCATCAGGCAACTAAAGACATGCAGCAGGGACCCGCTTCTGCATGAAGAAAAGCTACTGCAACTTCACACTAGGCTAGAGTGAAACAACCTTGTGTGGGAAATGCTGGGCAAAGGCTTTGAACAACTTGCCCCAAATCGAGTCACTTGAAGGCATTGCTTCTCTCTCCCTTAGGGGAAGTCAGGCATTAATGTGCCACCACTTTGTTGTCTCCTACCTCAGAAGTGGAATGAGAGCATGTCAAAGCTCTTACTCTTGAGGGTACAGTTCTGCACACCCATGCTGCTGTGCCAACCTCTTCCAGACTCCCACTTGATCCCCTTCACAGGTACCTCCACCTTCAGAAACATTAAACAACGTGGCAGGTTTAACGCTGCAGCCACACTGCCACACGGCAGCTGACGAGGCCTCTCCGGCAGGCCGGAGCAAAGGGCCTCAGCCGAAGCGCAGCCGCCCTCCAGGTGAGGATGACCCGGCTGCGGGAATCCTTTCCACCACAAATTACCTCTTCCAGCCGAGCAGAGCAGGGAGCCCCCAAAGCCCCTCTGGCAGAGGCAGGGCCGGGTGCCATAGGCCCCATCGATGTTGGCACTGCTCGGCCCGGCGCGCTTCGCCACAAGATGTCGCCGTCCCCTCAGGCAGGGGGGCGGTGGCCGCGGGCCCCGCGGGGCCGGCTCCGCTCCGGCTGGGCGGGGGCTCACCGGGGCCGCCCGAGACCTGCGGGCCGCCGCCGGCCTGGCGCGGAAACCTGCCGCCATATCGCGGAGCGGATCAGGGGCCGCGCGGCCGCGGCCTCACAAGGCCGAAGGGGAGACGGGTTTCGGGGCCCGCCCTCTGCCCGCGGGGCTGCTGCCGCTTGCCTGGCGGCCCCTGCGCAGAGCCGAGACTGCATAGAAGCGTTTGGGTTTGAAAAGACTTTTAAGATAATCCAAGTGCAACCATTCATCTACCACTGCCAAGCCCGCCCATAAACCATGTCCCTAAGCACCACATCTACAAGCCTTTAAATACCTCCAGGGATGGTGACTCCACCACTGCCCTGGGCAGCCTGTTCCAGTGCCTGACAACCCTGTGAAGAAAGTTTGCCTAATATCCAGTCTAAACGTCCCCTGGTGCAGGTTGAGGACATTACCTCTTGTCCTGTCACCTGTTACTTAGGAGAAGAGAGTGACCCCACCTCACTCCATCCTCCTGTCAGGCAGCCGTGAGAGTGATAATGTCCCCCCTGAGCCTTCTCTTCTCAAGACTAAACACCCCCAGGTCCCTCAGCTGTTCCCCATCACATTTGTGCTCCAGACCCTTCACCAGCTTTGTTGCCCTTTTCTGGCCCCGCTCCAGCACCTCAATGTCTCTGTGGTAGCAAGGGGCCCAGAACTGAACACAGAATTTGAGGCGCAGCCTCACCAGTGCCCAGTACAGGCGGATGATCGTTGTCCTGGCCCTGCTGCCACACTATTGCTGATACAGGCCAGGACGTCGTTGGCCTTGTTGGCTGCCTGGGCACAAGCTGGCTCATGTTCAGCTCTGTCACTCAGCACCCCCAGGTCCTTTTCCATGAGCAGCTTTCCAGCCACTCTGCCCCAAGCCTAGAGCATTGCATGGGGCTGTTGTGGCCCAAGTGCAGGACCCGGCACTTTGCCTCGTTCAACCTCATACCATTGTCCATAGCCCATCAATCAACCTGTCCAGTTCCCTCTGCAGAGCCTGGCTATCCTCCAGCACATCAACACCCCCAGCCAACTTGGTGTCATCCACAAATCTACTGAGGGTGCACTCAATCCTCTCATCCACATCATTGATGGATATTAAACAGAACTGGCCCTCGTACTGAGTGCTGGCGAATGCCACTTGTGACCACCCACCAACTGGACCAAACTCCATTCACCACCACTCTTTGGGCTCAGCCACCCAGCCAGTGTTTTACCCAGTGAACAGTAAACCATCCAAGCTGGGAGCAGACAGTTTCTCCAGGAGAATGCTGTGGGAAACGGTGTCAAACCCTTTACTAAAGTCTATGTAGACAACATCCACAGTCTTTCCCTCATCCACTAAGCTCAGTCCTACTCGCTGAAGAAGGGAAGGCTTAAGCCTTTTGGTCCCTAGGAGGACCGCAGCGATGTGTCCTGCAAAGCCACAGAGTGCTGGCTTCAAACCAGGTACCCTCTTTGCACCCAGGGCACGGGAGGCTCCAGTTCTGGAAGGCTGTTCATGGGCCTCACTTCTGTGCTTTACAAGACCTCCTTTCCATGGCCAGTTCATTCTGCTGTGCTCCTGTGACACCACTGTCCTTTAGCCAAACTTATTTTTCACTGTGCCTTCAGAATAAAACAAAACAAATCCATCGGTCTAAAAGGATGCCTGCTATTCCCTGTTGCTAGGAGCATTTATGGTGACGTGGTGGTAAGGTAAAGCTACCATCTTTACTAAATCCCCCTATCGGGACCAAGCATCCCTCCAAAAATTACTAAATATAACAAACTGATCCTAAAATGTGCCTCTTCCAAGGCTCAGCAGCCTCCACTCCTGTTCAGTTGACTCCTGGAAGGCAGTTACAAGTTAGGACTAAACAACCTGGCTGGGATGCAAACAGCTGCTCTGCTGGAAGATGTGTCCACCTCCCGCTTACTTGTCAGCTCCTGCCTGCTAGAGGGTTACCACCTTCCTGGCTCTGTAGGTGGGATCACCTTATCTAAGTGCTGCCTAATCCGCTTCAGGCACAATCAGACAGGCTGGCTCAGTCTGAATTGGTGGGCTGAGCTCAGCCAGCAGAGTTTCCTTGAAGCCTGTAGTAGATGCTAGACACACAACTCCATTGAAGTGGTAGTGGTATTAGCTTGCCGTAGGTGCATCCAGATGGCGAAGAGAATGAATGTCTTGAAAGCTGAGTGACCCTTTTCAAATGTACCTCCAACCTTTCACTAAAGATGTCTGATGATCCTGGAGGAGGCCTCCTATCCCTGACATACCTAACATCTAGATCCAGCCCAGACCACACATGTTAGTACTCTGGTTCTGAGTCCAAGAGACTCAAACCCATGTGAACATAAGTGTGGGGGAGACGGGAGGAAAGAGGTCATCCACAGCAGCCTCTGAGCAATCCTGTAGTGATGGTTTGTACGGCAATGACGTAGGAGGGCTCAGAACAGGAATCTGCTCTCAGAAAATATTTGCCCTCTGTGACATGAGGAGTCCTGCTGATGTCAATGAGACAGGAGTGGCAAGCCCTGGTCCTCCATAAGGAGTCAGATTTTCCTTTTTTTCTTAATATTCACAGGATTATTATGAACATCTGGTAAACAAATTCTTTCTTAACGATTGACAACATTTTGACCATTTCCTTTCAGACAGCTGGCTTAGAATAGTGAGACACAGACTCTAGGGTTTAGATTCACTCTTTTTTTCCACATATAGTTTCTTCCACACAAAAACCAAGCAAAGTTGCTGCTTATGCATAACTGTATTCACTGTAACTGCTGGGGGGAGAGTTTCCCCTAAGACTGTGTTTAAATCCAACCATCCCCTTTTTCAAGACTGTGCTCATTGTTACAAGATGGATGCAATGGTACCAGCTTTGTATGATTCAGTGTTTGTTTGGTACCTCTGAAAGAAGATTTAACAATCCTAAACCGTCCAGGAAGTTAGAAGAGTTACGTTGCGATTCAATGCACAACAAGGAGATAATTAAACTGGCTCACAGGAGAATCCTTTCTAATTGAGTCCCTGGATCAGATTTTGCTGGCAACCATTGGAAGTGGAGATTAAAAGAGTTTAACAGCTTCCATTTTCAAAAAGTGATTTTTAAGAGGAAAATATCATACTTCATTAAGGATTTCATTGGAGCCACAATGAATTATGTTCTAAGCAAGACATACTTCATTACTATCTTTGCTTACATTTGTTCTGTAGATTCAAGTGCATTCTAAGGGAGGTTATTTTTTGTTACCATGGTAAAAATTATTTTAACTGTATATGATCATCATTGCCCCCTCTGTTTGCTCATAATCTCTTCTACTCCTCCACTTTCCCCTTCCAAATATATACGCATCAAGATTTTTTTCTTCTTCCTTTCACTCCGTAGAAAAACAATCTCTTAAACACATCCAGGGATGACACCTGTTTATTAACTGCTCTGGATAAAAACCAGCTCTCTTTGTATAGTTAAGTATTCAAGACAAATCCAAAAATTTTAATAGCTAGAAGTTAAACTCTCTTTTTTTAGCCTGGCTTCCTAATGAAATGAGGCTTATGTGAGCCTGCTGTCTGTTTTCCTCTCCTTTCCCATCCTCCTCCCCCATTCAAATGCTTTTAAACCTGTTGGCCAATTCCAGCTGAATTTGGCAGAGAGGTAGGAAAATAATATCTTTGCAACCTTACCAAGCTTAATGAAAATCAGCACTGGGCTGAGAGGAGATAGATACCCAAATGAATGCCCTTGTTTGAGCAAAGATGAGGTAGTTCCACAGTCACCCTTTTGGCTCAAAGGATGACCCAGCAACAAGCACACACCCGCCAGCCTTTACATGCTGGAGCTTTCCCACCACCAAATGTCTATTGCTGTGGTGCAGGAAAGCAGGTGGGACTTACACAATGTGGGGAACTGGAGGTGGTGTGGGACTGTGCAAGTCACTGTGTGAAGCTGTAGTTATAAGGTTGTGTATACAAGGCATGGGGTAAAGACACATAGGAAGCAGCTTTCACTGCATCAGCTGCTCCCAGAACAACTACTTGCTGTGACTGATACTACCCACTTGATAATAGCCACCCTCAAATAGCACAGTAATCCAAACTGGCACGATTCTTTCCCCATGATAACATTTTGCTGTTCAACATAAGCAATTTGGGTAGGTCACATACAAGAAGATTTCCTGTACAAAATACTGAGCAGGAATATTCCTTATCTTTCCTAGCCACTGCCTCCAGACAACCTATATTATGCCCTTTGCATCCTGGGTGGGAGCCAGGACTGCTAGAGTGATGAATCAAGAGCATCCATAAGGAAAATGAAATGGAGGAGGCTCTTATTCAGTACATTCATCTTTTGTTAATTGTTGCTATATTTCATTCCAGCCCCCCATCCTTCCAAACGGCTGGAACTGTGACTCAGCTTCAGCAGCTTACATGCTCAGAAGAGAGAAAGAGTCACCCTCCTGGGGCTGATTTCACTGTCACTTCATAAGCTCCACTCCTCAGCAGGCTTGTCCATCATATGGATCCTTTTGCAGATCTCACTCATCCCACATCCCAGATCCGTGTCTTGTCCCAGGCAGCCAACCACAATGGACAAGGACAGCTACAGCATCAGGGGTCAACAGGATTGTCCTGCTAGCACAACAGCTGCATACTGGTACCTGGTAGCTGATACCAGGCAATGCCAGACAATGATACAAGGCTTTGGTCACCTGGCATCATTGTCTTATCCTAATAACATAATCTAAATGACAGAGCATGAACTGGGCCTACAGACAGAGAAACAAGACCCACTCTCCAGCCCTGCTGCAGAAATGCCAGCACCTGATGGACAGGCAATGCAAATCAATAGGGGCAATTCTTTCTTTGGCTGTTGGACTTAAATCCAGTAGATTTGGGTTGTCAGTCATGAGTCTGCTCTGAAGAAAGCTTGTGCCTTCAAGGTATGGTATAGATGCTTCAGAGTTGACACCTAATAAGTCACTCTCTGCGTATGGAAAGCTTAACATTGCTGTTCCTAGGAAGCAATTACACTAGACGGCAGCTTTGGAAGGAGGGGTTCATGTAACTGGCAGCCAGAAAGAAGGACTCGGAATAAAGTTAATGAGATTTCTTTTTAAGATAACTGTTGTGTCCTCTTCAAAATAGGGCAAGGCCCCTTAGGTGAAAACTGAGGGAAAACATAGTGAAAGCACAACAAAACAGCAATGAATAGCAACTGGAAAATAAACTAGAAACATATGTAAAACAAAGACAGAGGCAAAACAGACAGGACTTTCCAAGCCTCACCCTTTATGCCCCAGCCCCTGGAGCCAGGAGATTGCATACAGTCCCCAGTGTCATTAAAGACAGCATTTTCTCCTTCTTGCTATCCTCTGCAAAGAAGACTTTAAAAACATAACACAGATGCACTTTAAAGAAAAGCCAGAAAAGGCACCCAATTTTGGCTAGCAAACACTGGGTCTTTAAAAGCAGAGCAACCTGGTAATTCCTTGAGATTTGCCCCACAACTTTTGAACAGTGAGGAAGTGTACAGAATGCTGGTAATACTGCCTGGATTGGATGAATCAATAGTTTGGGCCCTGGGAACACTATACAACTATGCTGCTTTCTAGACTTAATGTGACTGTTTTCACTAAAAAGGTGTTTATATGCAAATATGTAGCTTTCAGGTCAAAGAGAAACCTGGTATCAGCAAGTAAACAAGGAGGACAGAGATGACTAGAGATGCACTGAAGCCTGTAAACTCTGCATTGTAAGTCTAATGTTCCCAAGTGCATCTGGAGATGGTACATTTATATTGTTAAAAGACTCAGCTCACACCACAATGACAATGGGACACTATAATGATATTGCTGGGACACTGGAATGATGTTGGCAGCTGACTGCAAGCCTTCTACTGTTAATGTTTTAGAATAAGTCAGACACCACAACCCATATTTAGAGCATGCTTTTCAGAGACACTGGCCACCCACAATTCCTGCAGGGCTGGGCACAGACATCAAGCCAACAGCTGTAAAGCTCTCATTTCCAATGTCGTGTTTCCAGTCAACACACAAAGCTTAGGTAGGGAACATCTTGTCAGGAATGTCTTCTGGATTTGTCCTTTGGTATTTTTCTCATCCTGTTTCCCAGCTACTCTTACTGAGGAACAGGAAAATCAAATGACTTGCATGGAGGTCACAGAGTGAGTCATCAACTCAGCCCAGTGACGGTCAAATAATGCTTATTTGTAAAACTATAATTTTATAGTGCTCTGCTGCATAGCTTTAAAAATGAATGTATGGGAAAAATACACCCACATATGACAAACGTACTTACACTCTCTCTGCTTTGGGTGGACGTTCTGTTAGTCACAGGGAAGCATCTGTGTAAAGCTTTTTTTGTTGCTGCTCTTTGCTTCTCTAGACATTTCATCAAATGGTCCCTGAGTCAGAAGAAGTGGGTTTTGCTATTAAAGTCTGTGTGGAGGCTGCATTCCAAAGCTGTTGGAGGATTCAAAGACAAATATTCCTACTTTGGGGAAAAAGGGAAAAAATCAAAATCTTTGATTTAAAAACCAGCAACAACAACAATCCAAACTGAATGCAATGTTTACGAAGACAGTAAATAACTAATGATCCTGCCTGATACTCGCTTTGGAACTGAAACCCAAGAGGAGTTTCATTAAAGCACAAGCTCCTTTAAAATTGCTTTCAATTGTATGGCATGTGTGCCTACCGTGCTGAAAAAAAAAGGGTATTGATTCATATTGAAACTAATTCCAACAGCAACAAAGTATTAGCCAGCAACCTCATACGGCCACTGTGTGACGAACAAAGCTCTCTGGAGCAGGAGCCATATCTGTTCTGTGATTTGTATTTTGTGTGGTAAGGGTGGAATGCAAGCCTGTAATAGTCGGTCTCAAGAAAATATCTGGGGGTGAGCCTATAGGTTACGGCTCCATTGGCTTGCTACTTTGGAAGCCTCATGTATCCTCTCGAATACAGGGCTTGCATCAATAAAATGAGGGAGATCTGTGCAGGGGAAGATGGTAGAATCACCCCATCGTGTGAAAGGGTTTCCCATATACATATAAAACCAGAAGATGAAGAACACACCAGAGGTGCAATATGAGGAAGTTGGACTTCAAATTGAATCTAGGTACATTACTCAGAGTAGCATCCCTGCCTGAGTTCAGGGCAGCCGCTGAACAGCACCTTCAGATCCACAGTTGCCATGGACAGCAGACAAGACAAAGAAAGTCTATGCTTTCCCTATGTAGTATCTGTCATCAGCCCTTCCATGGGGGTACCCAAGTCTAGGTGATTTTAAACTAAAAGAGGTGAGATTCGGGCTGGACACGAGGAAGAAAACTTTTACAATGAGGGTGGTAAAACACTGGCTCAGGTTGCCCAGAGAGGTGGTGGATGCACCATCCCTGAAGACATTCCAGGACAGGCTCGATGTGGTTTTGGGCAACCTGATCTAGTTGAAGATGCCCCTGCTCATTGCAGGGGTTTTGGACTAGATGAGCTTTGAAGGTCCCTTACAACCCAAACCATTCTATGATTCTATTGGCTTAGAAGGATTTTGCCCTCCTGCATGAGGCAGAAAGTGTTTCCTCCCTTTTGCCCTGGGTATGCTGATGTGCTGGATGGAGGGACTGAGTTGTTCAAGGATAGGGAAGCTCACAGCAAAGCTGGGCCCTGAGGTTGACTGCAAAGTTGAGTTCTTACCCCATCCCACTTTGTCCATGTCCAGCAATATCCCATGGTTGGGATGATCTACTTTGTACTAAGAGTGCCCTGAATGAGGGGAGGAAGTCTAAGAAATTCATCTAGGCTCCCTGACCCCTTTAGCTTTTCTTGCCCGGCATAGCAGTAAACAGCTTAGAGTGAAGAGCCCTACCTTTAGAGGTGATGAGCCTCTAAAAGCAGAGCTTTGCAGAACGAAAGCTGTTGAGCAAGTCTGCACAGGAAAAGGGGACCATTTTGTTGGAGCTGGCCTGGTCCCAGCTTCACACTGCCTTTGTGATCGTGACAGGGAAGAACAGTGCTCAGGCAGATTGATGCACCTCATCTCCGATAGCCAGATCACCGAGGCAGTTATAGTTCATGTCCAAGAAAAACTCAGAAGATGAATGAATAAAAATGTTGAAATATTAGATCATCAGTAGAACAATGAAAACCCCAAACAGACACAAACAATGTTAGTGCCTTTTTTTTGTTGTTTTTTTTTTTTTTTAACTTCAAGCTGAAAACCTGTTTGGGCCAGAATTCTTTGGAATCATGCTACTGAATGTGCCTATAGTTAGAAGATAAAAAAAAAAGAGGCGTTAAAGCTGCTAGGAGATGTGATCATCACAATGAGGGACTGGTTGCAGCCTGCAGGAACCTGAACAGAAACTGGTGAGTGCAGGAGTTAGAAGGCATTGCTATGACAACAAAGCAAACCACCCCTGAAGAGAATAGAAAATATGTACAGCCATGCCAAGATCATAAGCAAAGAAATGTATATTCTAAGAGGAGGCAAACGAAACATTGGCTTGGAAAACAGCATTACGCCTTTAGCATGATTTCTTCTTTATACATGGCACCTACTCAGGAAAAGCATGCGTTTAGCAGAGGGAAAGAAACTTTCATCAAAGCACCTCTTTGCCCAGTCCTTAGCCTTTGAGGAGGTAGCAGAACGATATGTGCTGTCTGTTTACACTCTCAGATTTCGGTTAGCCGTGGCTGGTTAAGGCATCCATAAGGTGGTCTCTATGTTTTTTTCCAACCAACACTTACTGTACTTGTGAACAAATTTAATGCTTACTTGCTTACATTTTCCCTCCTAATAAAATTAATCTCATTTACCAAAAGACGCCTTTTTATTCACATTCAAAGCTTAGGGTACTCCATGGAGGGTTAAAACTAGAAATTCCCCTAGCATTCTGGCAGAGAAGGGTTCCATGTTCCTCTGCAGCTGCACATAAGTCATTAACAAGATTGGTCCAAGCAGTTGTCTGGACCATACCTAGCAGAAAGCTCCCTGGTAGCACTGATGCCTGATGACAGTCAACTCTTGAAATCAGAGCCAGGGTGGATGTTGACATAATGGTCTACACTTTGTGTACTCAGCCAGGAGGGGGAAAATCCTCTGGTTCCCAAAGTGAAGGAGCAAATGAGCAGGCCAGGGAAATACACTATAACGTAAGTGTGCTGGAGAGACGGTGAGCAGCATCTAGGGTTTGTCAGTAGGACCAGAGCTGGGCAGCTTTGTGCCATGGGATTGTCTGCATAGCAGATGTCCTACACTTGGAGAATTGAACAGATAATGCTGGAGGCAGAGCAGTATTAGGCCCTACCTGGACAGTCTTATGATGGCAATGGTAGGAGGGAGGATGTCATGTACACAGGCTCGAGTGGGTTGTCCTCTGTCTCTACAGGGCCCCTCATGATGAAGTCCCTGCCTTCCTCCAGTAGACCTGAGCAGTTCTGCATCACTTTCTGGCATAAATACTTTCCTGCTTCAGCCTCAGAGATTTCATTCTTCTGCACCACTCCTTAGCCAGAGACCAAAACACAGAGCTCAACTGTTACAAACATACATCAGCAAACTAAAGCATGAAAAACATCATTGTGGGCTAAGGAGATATCCTGCAGTAACAACAACAAAGTGTATATGTCCTTGCCTGTCCTGTGAATGCTACTGCCATGGAGCTGCATGCCCCCAAGCAGAGACATGGCCTGTGCCACCAAAGGGAATTTCAGCCTACGGCAACGCCACCTACGTACCCAGACACGCTAAACTGTCAGAAACACTCATCTGTCAGCATAGCTCTGTCTACACCAGCGCCTTGCCAGCAGTGGGGGAGTTGATTTCTTTCCACACCCTAGAATTACACTGGCAAACTCTGTAGGTTACACTAAGCCACAGAGTGCAGGCCACGTGTGCATACACTTTATTGGCCTTCATTTGATCCTGTGCATTAAAGGCAGCTGGGCTTCCTCTCTTTCCAACTAAATAATAATTACACCTATTGTTCCCAGTGGGCAAAGAGACCCTGTTCGCACATATCCAGAAAGACAAGGCGTATAATTAACACCTTGCTGGATAGAGAGCTTTTGTTCAGGTTAGTTATTACATGTCTTGCAGCCTGAAAACAGTGCTTCTTACATTCATTTCAGCTCATTTCCTCCCTGCCTCAGAGCTTAACTCCCTGCTTCTTCCCAGGTCTTTGTGCATGAATGTGTCCAGCAGCAGTGCTGAGTAAACCAAGGCCAACAGCTTAATACAGATGTCTGGAGCAGGGGCTCCCAAACCACCATGTGCATCCCATGTTCCTGCATGCAGAGGGGTGCTGTGGCTGTCCTTGCTGTTGCCAGACCCATTTGCAAATGAATGGCAAAGGTCTCCACCAAAGATGCAAGGCAAGGACAGCTCTCTCACCTTGAGACTTGGGCTACAGGAAGAAGGTGAAGTTCAACCAGATGGATGGCTTTAAATAACAGCTCATTGCTTTATTCTTCCTCCTTCCTTTGTCTGTTGTTCCTTATCCCATTCCCATCCACACTGCAGCTCTCGTTCTCACACTCTGTTCTGTCCCTTCCCTTCCCATGAGCTGGTCTCCACCCTCTGCTGACCAGTGTGCTAAAAAAAATCTCTCTTTTTGTGTATGTGTGTTTCGATTTTTTACTTTTTTCACTTTAGGTTTCATTTTCCAAGCCTCTGGTTCAGTGCATTCAGCTGAGGGATCCCAAATATGCTGAAGACCTACAAAAAGGGGGAAGCAGAATAGTCATGGTTAAGGGCAGAAAGGGGGTGGACAGGAAAAGGGGGAATATGCTCCCCTCTTCCAGCAGCAATCTGTCATTAGATCAGCTTAAGCTGCCTTCTGTAACTTTGCCATTCATTTTACCATCACAGTGATTTGGATTATAGTGCTATGAGGAGGTAGGGAAGGTTGGACTACATTTTGTCAGTAATAATGTTGCATAGGTACAGTTATAGAAGCAAAGAATCACTTCATTTCAGGGCCACAGTCACATAGGTACTGTATTGCCAGAATAAGGGCTATCCTCATGACATGAGCTTCCCAGAAAGGCAACTCACAAACCCTCTGGGACATGGTTACTCCCCAGCACAATAAAAGGCCCCATGACCTATCCAGGCAGAGCAGGGATATCCTCCCCACTCCAGCGCCCCATATCGCAGCTTCTGCATATGTGAACTGCTGACAGGACTGCACTTGCATTGACAGCCACCAGCACTCAGGAATACAAAGCAGAGAGCAGTTGAAGAGCAGAAGTTATACTTAAGCCATGAGGAACCACAGCAAGACCAGAAACCAAATGGTTTGAAACAATCAGTGCAGGTTTTGGCCATCGACTGACGAAGGAGCAGCTGTGACTACTGCCTTACAGCAATAAGCCCTGGCAAGCAGCGGGGTTACCAACACCCAACTGACAGGCTTTTGCATAGCCAACATTTCATCACCTCACTTCAAGCTCAGCCCAGCTGGAACTACCTGATTTGGTGAGGCCTCTGCAACCCCAGAGTGGTGCTTTGCCCACCAACAGCTTTAACTATAAATATCCAAACATCCTACTGATACAACCTGAGTGAGAAGGAGCACTTATATCAGCTTAAAGACACCTAAGTACCAAGTTCCTTTGATGGGACTACTCTCTGGTGCCTGTCATCAGCACGAAGCTAGAGGTCAGCTCCATATCAGAGCACTCCCAAATCAACAGGATTAACTTAAAACCCCTTTGTCAGCTCCATAAACTAAACATGGTGCACAGCTGCGTTGGTAGCGTATAACATTTTCACTGCCTCGATACAGATAAAGCAGCGCTGGTGCTTTGAGGAGAAAAGGTATTAAAAAAGTCCATTTCACACCTGTACTAAATTAATAAAACCAATGGTAGCTGTGTTTTGTAAATGGAAAGTGCATCCACACTCATGCAATCCTGGCAGACCTAAATCTCCTGTAGTTCTCTTCTTTTGCTGCCTCTAAATGCAATAGCATCTGGTGCCTTGGGGCTTCAGCCCTTCTAATTAACTAACAAGCTTTATCTCCCACTGGTGCATGTGAAAGGTGATTCTGCCATCTCAGGAAACACTGATTGCTCTTTTTTTTCCCCTCCCTATTCTAATTTAAATAACATGCAGTCCCCCCTACCAAACAGCCACTGTAAGGAGCTTTAAACAGGTCTGTACTTACCACAATGAGATGGCAGGAGACAGGTAAGCAATTAGGCAAAATAAGCAGCAAATTCCTCGAATACAATAGCTATACAAAGGTACTGTTCATTTCCTGTGACAACTGAATGATACAGGATGTTTAAATGGATTTGACACATAACATTTTGATAATGATCTCTGGTTTGAGACTTCAGTGTTATGAAATAACATGAAGGTCCCTTATGTACATACCCCATCAAGATTAGTAGGACCTAAACAAGCATCTAAAACCACCATAACAGCAATGTCCCTAAAACACATGGTGGTATTATTGGGCTATGGTTAGAAATGTTATTGTTAGAATTAGCAGTTAAAAAAAAATGCAAAATAAACCAAACCAAACCAAAACCCCAGCTTTAGTTCTCCTTATTTTCCTGTTCTACTCAATAGTATTTCTCTATGCTCTACTCAGCAGCTGCCTCCGGAGAGGCAAAAATACCCCTGCACAACAGTGTGATGCCAGGAGGACACAGTGCTGGAGATGGGCACTACTTCCCCTATCCCATGAAACTAACACAGAACAGCAAGCAAAGGGGTGTTCTTTCAGATCCTTTTGTAATACCAAGTCGGGAGAGTTCAGCAGTGCCCAGCAGGCCAGGCAGAGGCAGAAAGGATTTGTCCCAGCTGCCAAGAACACACCTTTCCTACTTTCCATGAGAGGTCTCTAATCTGCTTTTGCTGCTGATAGCTGGAGATAATAGCAGCTGTGCTGCCTTGGGCATTTCTCTCCAGGGTCTCATCTGGTCCCTTGAATAGGAACAGTGGACACACTTCCTTAAGTTCCCAGTCCATTCCCTGGGTGAAAAGTTATCTTCCCTCCCAGTTATCTCAAAAGGACGGCTCTGGGAAGCGTGGCTTAGCCCTGAAAAGGGCCCTGTTGTGAGGAGACAGCGGAAGTAAGATTAAAGAGAAAAGCAGCAGCAAAGCTGGACGCAACATCTGATTGGAATCTCAGGTTTTACTCACAGTTTACTGAAACTCTCCCCCACTTCCAAATTTTCTCATGGCAGAATGAATTGCTCCATCAGCAAGTGTAAACGGAAATGATTAATTTACCCCTCCCATCCAAACTGATTACCAAGACTTCCATATCTTCAGGACCTGAGTAATGAATGAGCTTCCTGTGATTATAGCCAGGCACACCATGAGGGCTCTGGTGTTAGCATTCACGCCTCTGGGTCAAAAGCTGTAAGGACCACACAGGGTATGTGTGCTCATCAGAGACAGCAGCAAAGTTTTAGCATGGCAAACAGTAACCCCTGTAGTCTTTGACCTTGTGCACAGTAGTAATATTGGTTTTAAAAGGAAAAACATTACAATCTGTGTTTTACACCACATGGAGCACCAGGCTAATGGGAAAGTGCTGGATTCCTGGCTTCCCCACCACGCAGACCAGCTTGGACTTTGTTTCTGAAATGTGAGGCTCAGTTTCCTGGGAGAAACACAAGAGGAATCAGAAGCTCCTATCTCACAGAAAGACAAAAAGCTGCCAGCAGTTAATGGATGGTATCTTGCTTTCTTGTGTGACAAACCTCACTCCTGGTGAGACAGGAATTCAGTGTGAGCTGGAAGCTGCAATTTCTTACAGCTCCTTCTCTTGCAGTGGCATGGTTCCCAGTGGCTGATCTTACCATGTGCCAAGCAAAAATCCGTCCTCCTGCTATCTTTGGCCCCCATGCTATCAAATGCTGACCCTGATTCAGAGCTGTGCTGGTCTGAGTTAAATGGCGTAGCAGCAAGACAGACAGGCTTCTCTGAACTAACTCGCTCCCCGCTGCTAACAGTGATGGGAAAACCAAGCTGGAGATCCAATCAGGGACGTGCTGGTCACCCTCCTCTGTTCTATCCTTCAGGCCAGATGCTGAGCCAAAGCCTCTTCTGCAGCTGCCTTCAAGGTAGAAATAACAAACTGTCACCACCATTCTCAACAGAATAAAGTCCGAACCTCAGCCTTAGTGCACAGGCCAGCATCCCCCTTCCCCCCGGAGGAAAATGCTTTCTGTGTTAAACTTTCACAACTAAACCTGAAACCCAGTGATGTTTATTTTAGGTTTTGTTACAAACCTAGAACACAGGCCAAGTTTGGGGGAAGAAAAACAAAACCCATGGGCAAAGTTTCAAGCAAATCAAGACCGATTTATGGTATGAGTGGAAACCATACTCAATTCACTGCTTTCACAGGGGTTTGATCTGAAACCAGGCACAGCCTAGCAGCCCCAAGCTAACTTTTGCTTCAGGTTACACTGAAAGTCAAACCTAGCACATCTCCCCAAGTACCCATGTGCTTGCAAGAAGATGGATTCAC